TTTTTTTTTTTTTTTTTTTTTTTTTTTTTTTTTTTTTTTTTTTTTTTTTTTTTTTTTTTTTGTCCTCAGAGTAAACGCCTCCAGGAATAAAGAATAAAAAGGTACTAGGGTCACTAGGTGCAACAAGAATACCTCATTGTTCCCCACAGGCATGATATTCAGGACACATGTGGAAACAGTGAGAGGAATGTAGAGAAAAGGGGATTTCCCCCACCCCCCAAAGCCTAGCCTTCTAGGAAAAAAACAAACCAACCACTAAAGGAAATCACAATTATCATTGCAGAATTCCTTTTTTGTTGTTGTTTTAAGGGATACTAAAGCGTCACCTATTTAAGCCATAAAACATGAAAGCATTTGAAGCTTCTAACACACCTCTTTCTCCTTTCCCAGGACCAATTCAGAAAAGATCTATGAAGAGATGCGACAGACTTGGACATCTGGGACACTTCTGCTTTCCAAAGCTTTGATTCCAGCAGGATGGAGTACCAACTTCTGGAAGACTAGGCCCTGATGGACTACAAATGCATATACAACAGAGATCTTTGGTGTTTGGGATTTTTTGGTTTATTTTGTTCCTCCCCCCCTGCCCCAAACAAATCCATGCTGCCTCTGCTGATAGGAAAAAAGGCGGCAACATACTGTGTGGTTAAAGCCTTGAATGAAATGGATTGCAGTGGACCTGCAGGAAAGACTGTAGGCCTCACATACTGGGACTACTTTACAAGAAAAGATCTTAGAACAAAGCTGCCAATTAGATAAATGCGTTTAGAAAGTACATACTTCATAAATATTAAAAAGAAAGGGATTTAAGATGAAAAAAGGGTTTTCCTCCTCTGTCCTCCTCAATAATCAGAGCTATTATGATGATGGAGCCCCAAATACTTGATTTCAAATACATCGAATACCTTCTCCCCTTGTTCAATGTTTGTGATATAGAACTGGGAAAAGCAAAGTGAAATAAAATTGGAAGTCACTGCAAAAGCTATAGCACTGTTTATTCCTTCCTCTCTATTTGCAAGAAGTCCTAAATTTAATCTGACAAGTGAGACATCCTGGGACAGCCACGTATGAAATATTTCGTAGCTGAAGTGCAGCATGATGAGAAGGGAGAATTATTATATGCCAAAAAAATTTCAAAAGTACATACAAGCGTGGGAGACAGAGAGAAGGAATACGGGCTTATCACTTTCCATATAAAGCAAGGCACAGACCACACAAGGGTCACAGGGACACTCATCAGCTGAGAAACTGAGTCAGATAAGGTTCGTTCTTCCCATCAGTTCTTCATGTTGGTTTCTCCTGCACTGTCACAAGCTGGAATGGTGCTAGACACACACACAGAGAACTGCTGGCCGCACCTGTCTCTTACCTCAGTCAACTGTGCTAGATTCTGGCATAAATTTTCAAGACAGAAAAAACAAGCAGCAATGAGAACACCCTTGTGGAGCCACTGTGGATTAAAGCCTTGAATGAAATGGATTGCAGTGGACCTGCAGGAAAGACTGTAGGCCTCACATACTGGGACTACTTTACAAGAAAAGATCTTAGAACAAAGCTGCCAATTAGATAAATGCGTTTAGAAAGTACATACTTCATAAATATTAAAAAGAAAGGGATTTAAGATGAAAAAAGGGTTTTCCTCCTCTGTCCTCCTCAATAATCAGAGCTATTATGATGATGGAGCCCCAAATACTTGATTTCAAATACATCGAATACCTTCTCCCCTTGTTCAATGTTTGTGATATAGAACTGGGAAAAGCAAAGTGAAATAAAATTGGAAGTCACTGCAAAAGCTATAGCACTGTTTATTCCTTCCTCTCTATTTGCAAGAAGTCCTAAATTTAATCTGACAAGTGAGACATCCTGGGACAGCCACGTATGAAATATTTCGTAGCTGAAGTGCAGCATGATGAGAAGGGAGAATTATTATATGCCAAAAAAATTTCAAAAGTACATACAAGCGTGGGAGACAGAGAGAAGGAATACGGGCTTATCACTTTCCATATAAAGCAAGGCACAGACCACACAAGGGTCACAGGGACACTCATCAGCTGAGAAACTGAGTCAGATAAGGTTCGTTCTTCATGTTGGTTTCTCCTGCACTGTCACAAGCTGGAATGGTGCTAGACACACACACAGAGAACTGCTGGCCGCACCTGTCTCTTACCTCAGTCAACTGTGCTAGATTCTGGCATAAATTTTCAAGACAGAAAAAACAAGCAGCAATGAGAACACCCTTGGGGAGCCACTGTGGATTTCATCTCTTTGCCACTAGATTTAAAAAAACATAAATAAGCATAAAGACTAAATCAATGAGCAGTCTCAATGTCCACTCTTGATCAGCTTAATACTCCAAGTTCCTATTTGTCTTACTGAGTTTATTTTTCTTTCAGTTGTGTATTGAGCTACAGCAATTATCCACCAAAAACAAGTTTACAAAGGACGGTCAACAAACAGGGAGAGTAATAATATGAAACTCTTAAAGACACAAACAGGATTTGCAGATCTGCATCAGCAAAGAAACCGCACAATACAGATTAACCCACAATGCTCAGAACACAAAACACTCCACCCGTTCAATTCATAGTGAAAACCAATTGGGAACCCTATGTTACGCTAAAAACTTCTCAGCCGTTATGTCCCATCTTTTAGGTTTATTCAACGTATCTGGCATTTTTCTGGGCATTCAGTATAGCAGAAGTCAAAGATTTGTTATTATGGGAGGGTGGGGAAAAACAAACATGAAGGAAATGCAGAGTATATTATAGTTCTTCAGTACTGGAACCAAACTGTCAAAAATCAAGTGTTTACCAACGGTCTGATCAACTGTGTTACTGATTTGCTTTTGCTATTGGTGACATCAAACACCAACCTACATATAACAGCTAAACTACAAATGCAGTAAAAAAGAAATACGAAAAACAAACCTTAAAACTCCATACTATGACTTTTTACAGCACATCAGTCATTCACATGTGTGGGTTCTTGGAAAACCGAGTTCGGCAGACTATACCAATTATACGGTATAAAATGCACCCACAAGGTGCCTTTACACATCTCCCGCATTCCCCTTCAAAACCCAGCTTTCCTCTAGAACACAGCCACAACACATACAGACATAGCTATGTTTTTCAAAACCACCGTGCTCTGATCTGATAGCAGAGTACTGAAGAGCTATTTATTTAATGTTGACAGCATGATTCTTAGTGAGTACAATCTCGTAACAAAAAATTGTATTTGTGGCCAGAATGTAGAAATTAAATTTTTAGTCCTATAACGAACAGTGTAAGTAAACTGTATGCCAGACATGAACATTGCAAAACTTTAAAAAACAAAAGTGACAGGGCTCCACAGCTCATCATTATCAACCGTAACTACAAACCAACAATACCTAAGCAACAGACAGCTCCAATTTCACTCTGCACAGGAACTGTCAGCTTTAAGTAGAAGCTCTAGTGCAGGCAGGTGCTCCGTGGAGGACCAGTGACATCTGGTGGCTTGCAGGGACAGACCAGGAACTCCCAGAGGGTTGTTGCAACACCCCTGCCTTCTTCACAGGCTCCCTGAACACCACATCCCAAATTAGCTGCTCTGGAGTTGTTGGTTTTTTTGTTGTTAAAAGCCACTGCCAACACAAGAGTGAGCTACGCTCAGACGAAGAATGTGCTCAGCATGCAGTTTCCCCCCTCACCAGTTAACAGGTTTCCACTCCTGAAAGCAAGGGAAATGGGGTTCTCTTTAAACTCTTTTGCTCACAGAGTGTAAACTGTGATCTTTATATCTGTGTCTTCAAACACTTCTCCAAGTATTGCTGAAACTTTATTCCAATCCAGGCGGTCAAGCCCACATCCAATCCTGGAAAATAAGACACCAAAACAGCTGTAATGGCCTCTTTTGGAGCATGTTATGAACAACTAGCCCTTCAAGCAGCTACGGTTTTATGCAGCACTAACTCAGCTCACCATAAATCAATGTAATGCAGTTAAAATAAGAAAACAACCAAGCCCGTATGTTTTGCTATCGTTTAAACGCACAGGGAAACGCAAATTTCATTTGCACAATTGAACAGAAGAGTTGAATAGAAGTGGATACTTGAACTCTTATTTCACGGTAGGGGATCATCTCTCAAACATCCTTCTACGCAAGAAACACTGAAATATTCACACCGCAGTAACTAATTTTCTTACCTAGGCATGGAAATGTCAGTAACTCCGTTGTTTAGACAGTGAGCTTTCATGGCTTCTAAACTCTTTCGCATACTCTCATATGTTGGTTTGTGAGAAACTTTCTTCTTTGTAATCTAAGTATAAATGTAAAAGGTCAGTTTTGCCTTTGACATGATCACTGCAAACTTTTCTTTTTTTAAAAAACACATTCCACTACACTCTGAAACTCCGCACCCAGACTTGCTACCGTGAAGGGAAAAAGAACTATGTTTCACAGCTTAAAATAGTATAGTTTAGCAGCTAGTTCTGTCAATTTGAAGTTTAAATATACATACACAAGAAAGCCTGGCTCCTCCTCAACTAGCAGTATTTGAGTAATACATCTCACAGCTCTTATTCAGAAGAGCATACTCAGAAAACCCACAACTATTAAAGCCTTCATCATCATATCTAATACAGTTTAGTTACACGAAAGTGCCTGAGTAATGTCCCACTCTTACCAGGTAGTAAATGTATCGGTCCTCTCTTTGGAGAACCGCCACCTCCCCAGTCTTCTTTTCTAAAGTGAAGAAATGAAGAAGGTATTTTTAAAACAGTTACACTCCACTACTTAATCCCCCCTGCACCCCAAGTAGCTTGGAATACCCTTACTGCTGGAAATCAAGGTTTTCCCTTCAGCTCCTGCATGTCCACCCTACGTGTATCACTCACGTTGATCCAACAGCTCTTGTACGCCTCCAAACTTTTTCTTAAAAAGAACAGCTATGCCTGCACCCATGCGACAATCCTCGCTGATGCAATGAGCCAATGAGTCCGTCTGGGGGCATGAGAAAAGGTCCCCCTTAACACACTTGATCTGGAAAACACCACAAACAGAAGGGTAAATAAAAATCAGCTGAGTGCAGACTCAGATAAGAGAATACTCAGGTAAGAGGGAATTTGGCAAGCCTGTACAGCAATGAGTGTAAGGCATCGAGTTTAAGATGCAGTTCACAAGTAAACGACTTGGCATGAATTATGAACCCAACATACAAGTAACTTTTCTACAAGATCAGTTATGAGTACCACGTGCCAGCTGAGCATTGATTTTGCAAAATCAATGCTTAAAAAGGAAAATTATGTAATAGTACAACTGGATTAGCGCACACCTTCAGCATACTATCAGTGTGTCAGTGCTGGATATCCCCAGACATTTAGTTAAGCAGGTAAGCGCTGTGCTGTTGAACAGTATCTGCCTCACTGACATAAGCATGAAAGCACAAGAAATTTAGCAATATCAGCCACTTTCCTCCAAAAAGCCACATGGTACAGCCTGCTGCCATGTTATTAGGGGGACAGGAAGGTCTCTTTAGAGACACGCATCACAGCAGTAGCCCAGATAACCCATTTTCTACGCACTCTCTCCTCCTGATCCTTGGAGAAGTGGGTGGCCATGGTAACGTGGGCTACGGTGAAGGCTCCTGCAGCTGGAAAGATGATGGAGAGAAAAACAGAGTTATTAAGAATCCCAAACTAGGAAATAAGCTGGCAGACCAGAAGGTGCAAGGCTGAGCCTACTTATCTAAGAATCCCAAACTAGGAAATAAGCTGGCGGACCAGAAGGTGCAAGGCTGAGCCTACTTTATGGGACAGCTAAGACAATCAAGACACCCCCTGAAAACAGAAGAGGAGGAGGCCAGTACCCCCAAAAAGCGTGGCACGAGCTTTCCTGCTGCAGCCCCACAGCTCCACCCATGAGGTGCAAGCAGGCCCCAGTCCAGGGTCACCACCCAACTGGCACCCACGGGCCTTCCATCCTCCTCCGAGTCACCCCCACCCCTTCAGGAAACCCTTCAGCAGGCCACACCCGCCGACGCGGTGTGAAGAACGATCCGCCGGGCCGGGGCTTGCGCCACGAAGAACCTCCCCAGCGCCCCCCACATCGCTCAACCCAACCCTTCCCCCGCTCCACCACAGCGGCCCTATCGTCACACAAAATGGCCGCCGCCCCCGCTCGCCTCTCCACGCAGGCTGGAGGAACGCCCTCTCTATGATACTCGCCGAGAACATTCCGAAGGCCAACCTACCGTCGCCCCGGCGCATGCGCAAGACGCTCAGAGGCGGAGCCTAGAGTGAGGCGAGGAAGGGGGGG